GTGGATTTTCTCCGGCCCTCCACATTTAGAAACAATGTACGCTTAGAGCATATGGCTGCTATACTGTACGTTTCCAAATGACGAGCCGCTTCGTTGAGCTATCATTTGTGGCCAAGTCGCTTCTGAAAAAAGAGCTACATAGCTCAGTGGGCCTTACCTGTTAAAATAAAACATCGTTTTAGTATTTTTGACTTGAGCATATTGCCACAAGACTGAGAGGGAAGTGGAAACACATGACGAAATGTACAGTGGACACCTATGGGCTATCTGCCCATGGTACGTGATGATGATGATGAAATTTCTTTGCATGACTAAATACAATATGCACATTGCATTAGCTGTGAGAGTTGTTCACCACAGGTAACAAATGCACTGAAAACAGTTCAGACGCAGTTTCCTGCGGCATTGAGTACAGATTTACGGGCAATTCAAAATGCAAATCAAGCTTTGACTTTCCCGTAGATGTTCCGTGTGATGTCCGTAACAACAAAAAAACGAAACTGGAACATTTCGATTACAATTCGGGTGTACCATACAGAGTACCTTCCGAAAGGGGACCGACATCTCAGTAAACTTCGTACAAAATAGAGAAGGGGGGGGGGGTACTGCAGACAAATCAGAGGGATTTGTCTGCCACATAGGTGGCTATGTGGCAGAGAAAGGCAGAGATGGTGGCGTAATACACAGCAATTTCAGATATTTCACAGCCGTGAGACAGCCAGTCAGAAGCAGGGCAAGAAAGGAAAGGTTTGCTGTCTTCGGACTTGAACATGAGATGGGGGGGTTCACGACTGGGAACAGCCGGGGGGGTGGGGCAGGTGGCGACCGCCGCCGTCCCATCACTGGCGTCTCCACCGCTGAGCCCCATTTGCGATGAAGATGAAAGTTTCAATTAGCGCGCGGCGAGAGCCTGCAGGGAGGGTTTTTGTAGCGACACCAAACAACCCTGCCCGCTGCGGACTTTGAAGACACTGCGATATCACCCCCACAGGAGCTTGTCGACACGCGGCAGGCCCATCGAGAGAAAACGTGGGGCCCCCTCCTGTACGCAATGTTGGCAGGACCAGCCACCCACCCCCCCCCACCTCCCATGCTTACAACAATTTTTTTGTCATTTTTTGGGGGGCTTCTTATCTTTGAGGCCCCCCCCCCCTTCTAAACCCGAATCCCCCGCCCTCCGTGCACTAGTCCACCCTGCACGTCAGTGTGTTCCGGTGTCATATTTTACCACAACCCTTAAGAAAGCGGCAAAAAAATGTCCAACTGAATCAAGAGTATTTATGTATACTGGAGGAATCCGATGAGCTTTGAATCTTTTTTTCACGGATGTCCAGTCCGGAGCGGGTAAGAACGTTTCAATAACAAACAAAACAAAAACGTGATAGGAGTATAAGAATGGTAAACAAAGCACCCAAACACATGCAAATACAACACTAAACCACCCCTCATCCTACCAGGCAATGCCACTGGGGTTTAAGTTTCTTTTTCAAAAGCGATCTGGCCACAAAAAAATTGATAACTCAACAAAGTGGCCCACCATGCGGTCATTTATATGGGTAAATCAGCTCTCCACAGTAAAAAAAAAATGATATATTTAAATAAAATTAAAATCCACAGCATCCGGAAGAACATCCACCAAGAAGATGGAGCGCACAAAGAAATGGGCACGTTGGGCAGGTGTTGGGTTGATGAGTATGTCGCGCTGGGTCGTGCGAGGTAGCAAGGGAGGTTGGCGGAGGTGTTGATTCAGCAGTTGACTGACCGTGGCTGATAATGGTGATGGTGATGATGTCATGGGACCTTTTTTGGCTGCTCACCCGGAGCTTCAAATGCTCTGATACGTGCATTGCCTTTGTACCATTCGCCTGTTGGTGTTATCTGGTCGGACACTGGTGAGCCTAGGCCCTGAAGAAGGCTTCTGTCTCTGGTGTAGGCCAATCAGTTTCAAAGACAATGCCTCTATTAGCAGAGCATGTTTGTTTGGATGTTCACCACAAGTCCGTGTGGTTAATACAGGCTTGGTTCCTTGCTGTTTGAACATCTTAACACCTCCTATTTTAGTGCCAGAAAAGGGTAAAACCTATTCTTATTTATCAATGATGATGGTGGTGATCTCCACAGAGCCACTTGGCTAATCACACTGACCGACAGTGGCCTAAATGCCGAGAAACTTCGAGGGACACCCAGAACGAGAATGCACTTCTATTGTGATCACGCCTGCACAAACGCATTTTAAGGTCAGCTTCAATAATGCCAAACGTAGTATAAAAATATCGAGATTCCTGTAAATGTTTTAAATGGCCACCTGTACTGTGGGCATACACTGTTTAATAAACAGGCCGTTTGCTGTTTTAAACCTATTTCTGTTTAAAATTGCTATTAAAAAACAGCAATAGGTGACATCATTCTTGATTTGAAGATTTCGTGACTGCAGGAATCCATACTCTTTGGTTATCTCGGTAAAGTCACGTAGTGTAATTTTGTGTAAATAGAGAACAACAACAAAAGTGAAACAAAACCCCTGCCGGGTATGTCTGTGGTTTATATTCGTTAATTCATTCCTTCAGGTGAACATCTTTAGCAAGCCTGTTCGGAGCTTAATGTTCTGCGTAACTTAACGCCGTTCTTATTTACAGCACATCCGCCAGTGTCTGCGACTGTGGCATTATTTAGGGCAATGAAGGAAGAAATTAAACACACCCTCTCCCCCGCCACCCCCCGTGCCATAATTACCTCTTTTCCTCCTCCCTTGCAGCATCTACAATCCCAACCGTGAACGCGTGTTGTGTAATCGCTGCGAAGCGCCAGTTACGTGTGTTTCTTGTGCTCTACACGCAATACATAAAAGCCACCGTCTGAGTAATGAGCATCATCTAAAGCCCATCGTTCGCACCCCATTCCCTCCCGCCCTTCTGGCACTAACCCCCTGCTGCTGCTGCTGCTATGGACGGATTGCCTCTGTGTGCCCCACCACATCCCAAAGTGTTCCGGAGAAAAATCTCCCCTGGGTTTAGTCAGGTGAGAACCGACTGCGACCAACGCCACTGCCGGCTTGCCCAGGCACTGGCATTCAATCACCGCATGTGAACCCGCGTGCCCTCTTCCCCACGTGGCCTGGCCATGCTGCGCACGTCCAAAACAACTCACTTTAAAAAGTCCTTGCCGATTCGGCAAAGCGGAAAGGTTTTTTATTTTGCCACTTTTGTTACATTTTGTATCTCAATTTCCACAGCGTTACCCTAATTGAGCTGTTGCAGTCAGGGCATGAGATGAAGTAGACAATGGTAGACACTGGCCCTTGGAAGTGTACATAACAGAGCTACCTCTGAGATTCATTCAAGTGACCTCTGGTCCACACATTAGAGAGCAGCACTTTCCCAAAATTATATTTAAATTCCTCACTGGGTTTTAACGAACGTAAGTTGCGGGACCATTTTTTTTTATTTTCATGCAGTCATTAATGGCTAGGCGGAGACGGTCAAAGCTCCACTCGACAACCCGGTTGAATCGCTGAAACTCGCATTCGAACCGAGGATCTCAGCTGTGCGCTGCGACCCCCCCCCCCCACCCATCTTGTTACCGGGCACTTTTTAAAAAGCCGTGAACATTTTGAAGCGAAACAACATAGTAACAGAAGCCCGCGGTTGATATGCAGAGATTGCGGGCTCAGCTGGTGGAATGATACAGCGTGGCAGGTGAGGGAAGATGAGATGAAAGGGGTTTGGTGGTGGGGGGGGCTTGGTGTTTGCTATTCCACGGTTTTACAAGTGGGTTCCCCTGGATTGTCCCGCTAAGGAGAGCTCCAGCAGCCAGCGGCGAGCTCGGACTTGAGTGGCGAGCGCAACGCGGGCGTGTTTACTTACGCGGGGATGCGTGCTGCATGCGCAAGCGATCGCACCCCAGCTGGACGCCGCCAACCCACGCTCGGAAGTTCAATCCACGCGCGCGTGCTTACGCGTGCAACGCGTTTTGTTTGTGGGATTGCAAAGGGCGTTGCTTGAACGTAACTCGGGGAAGAAATCACGGGACAAAAAAAAATACTGGCAAAAATAACCGCGCACCGCAGACGTGTTGAGGAAGGTCCACAACACCCGGACAGAAGTACAAAGTACAAAACGTACCACAATCTAGAGGTCATGGTGGCCAATAATGCTGATGCCATCAAAGGATGATGAGCTTCCTGCAGTCTAGGAGGCCAAGAGTGTCCGCGAGGCAAGTAATAATTCATCAAATCCTACCCCCCCCCCCCCCCGTCCTTTTCCCTCGCCCGGAGCGGGTCAATCAATTCTCTAAATTCTGGGTCACGATTTGATTCGAAAATCAATATTGTTGTCCCGTTTGCGTTTCCTGTCTTGCACGTTCTAAAATGTTCACCCATTAGCCTCGACACAACGTTTTCGTACAATCTAAATAAAGTGGATATAATCAATTCTAGTACACAGTGTTTGTACCATGTCCTCGATATGATAGTAAACCACGTGCATTAATGTCGTTGCCTTTTTTCAAAGTTATGGCTCAAGATTCCAATAGTGTGAAGTGTGGTTTGCCAAGTTGAGGAATGGCGCAATGGAATCACGTACATGCTCTTGGGACACAAAACTATAGAATAAGAACACCTTGAGCATCAGCATCGATTGTGATGTACTTACCCCTGCACTGTAAGTACGCATGTTCAACCTATTTTGAACCGTACGTAACCAACCGCGCTAATCGGAGATGCGTGGTAAGGACGACAAACTAAACACAAAAAGCAGTTCCAGAGAAATGAGTCGTCAATCTAGATTTTAAAGTGCCATAGCTCCAGTGGCTTCCTAACACTACAGGCATCTTCAGGAATTGAAGTGTGGGGTTGTGCCCGCAGTGGTGAGGCGGAGAATCCTCCGCAGCAAGAGGTCCATCCCTAACGGCCGAGCTCGGAATACGAGTTCGCCAAGACACCGGCCTCACTCACCCCCCCCCCCAGCCCCTCCCCCATGCTCGTCGTCGTCGTCGTAACTCACAGTTGGCGACCGTCAGGATGTTGCAGTGGTAGGAGAGCACCACCAGCGTGGCGAGCGAAGCCTGCAGGCCACCGGCGCGGGGTCGCGCCATCGTGCGGCTGACGAGCGAATGTGTGGACGAGCGAATGTGTGGACGAGCGGATGTGTGGACGAGCGGGCCGCCCCCCCTCCCCCGCCCCGTCTTCGTCGTCCCGCTCGGATCGTCGCGTCGTCCTCCGCGGTCTCTCGACCCGAGCTGTGGGGCCCTCACGTAGATCCTGAGAAGGGTGCGGAGGGGGCGGGGAGGGAAGAATAATGAATAAATAAGACGTGGGCACAAAATACTGAGCCGGCGTTAGCGGTATGCACGTCACGTGCGCTTTTTGTTTTTTTGTTTAAGGCAACAACGACAAAAAAAAATCGACAGATATTGTGCACATTGCATGGGTTCTGTAACACTTCCATCTGGCGACATGTACGGCAATTGATGATCTTTACAAGAAAGGTGTTGTATTAAATTCATATATTATTACAAACAACTCAATGCTCATTCCCAAAATAAGGGTCTGGATTTTTAATGGGGCGTCGGGGGAGGGGGCGGTAGCGAGTGGCAAAACAGTTTCAATGAGTCTAATTTCTCGTGGAATAAATGTTGTGGGTCTTCCAAGGCCCAACCCACTCAGAAGTTGTCACCGCGAGGGAAAGTTGTGGGGTGGAGACATTTTCTGGAGCTCAGCCCCAGACAACTGCAGTGGGAAATGAAGCCTCTGTATGAATACAGAATGACACTCCTAGATGCTGGGCCTGTATTTGTCTCCATCAGCCGAGGGTGCCGTGGCCATGTAAACATGATTTAACTTCATTAACTGCTGTTATTTTAGCACCATTTGTCAAAGTCTGCACCACGCATTTAGGAAAATAACCTCAATTTAAATGCTAATTTTGATGCATACATTTCGAGCCTGACAGATGTGCTACAAAATGCAAAAAAATATTTGCGGCGGGACTAAAGAGGAGTTGCTTCAAATTGACAACGCGATTGTCCTGAGGTGCGGCGGACAATTATGGGGTATGAAGGTCAGAGTGCCGCTTCGCATCCGAGGGTCAAAGGTGAGGCAGCTACTTTCCATGGGCCCTTGGGTCATTATCAGTCTATTTAGCTCTCCAAATCGATTTTGGCTGAAGCCGAGCACAACTGTTGGCTTCTCGTAAATAACGCCGGCGCATCCCCACTGCGTGGGTTTTCGCGGTTGCGCCATATAGGCGGTCAGGTTGTGCCACGGTGTTGTTGGGCACGGCGTCCGACGTTTCGCCCCCATGTACGGGGAGATTATTTCAGCAACTGATAAACACATCGATTATGTTACCACATGCCAAACTACGTGCGGTGACAACAGGAAAACACACCAGGCAGCCACGCTGACACTCCTCGCTCTCTCTATCCACGTGTTCTTGCTGCCAGCACACGGAGCGAACAACATGTGGGTCCAACTTCAAAACACATCGGAGAGCTGCGAGCATCCCATTCTCTGTATTTTCACTCCCACTAATATGAATCGTCACGTGTTATTATTTTGAGGATTTATTAGCCATCCGGACATTGATTCGTGTCACTGCCGCCTTGGCCCCTCCACTGTGCTGCTCCACGTGTATTTTAGAACACCCGCGCATGCGGCTGGGCTCTCCGGGGAGAAGCGTGCGTGTGAAGAAGTGCCCCCACCCCCCCCCCCCCCGAAAGCTCCCTCTCACCCGACGAAGGTCCTCACTAGTGGCAGCATGGCGCCTGCATGTGCAACCTATAAACGCGCAATGGCCGCAATTACACGAGGCGGCCGCTGCATTTAGGGCAAAGCAGATCGCATCGCAGCCAAAACGGCAAAAAAAGGAAATCGCAGCTCGGCCGTCCTGCAGCTTTTGGCGGGATCCCTGTAACTGAAGGTGCCCTCATTAGCGGGAAGACGTCCAATCTACGCTGCGGTCTGAACCGCACTGCCGTGAGTGTGACGCACGTCCTCGTGAACCGGCTCATTAGCTCGGGTGTCCGGAGCCTTTTTCACATCCTCCGCTCAGAGCCATTGCCTTCTCCTCGACTTTCCTTGCACCATCTGCTGCTGCTGAAACTACCTCGACTGTGGCACATATGCACAACAGGGCCTTGAACATAGTTCGTTAAATTAAACACTTTTTTTTTGTTCCTTAATAAGCTGCAGAACCAGCCAGCACACGTCCCTTAAAGCGAATGGGCAGATATGGAGCGCAGTCCCTCTGCTGATTAAAAGAGTTGTACTTTTCCACATTACTCGTGTTCCTAACGGTTCTTAAATCCTTTGCCACAGATTGATCATCGTCATCAGTCAAGGTCTATCCACTGCTGGATGAACACCTTTCCAAGTTGCCCTGCACACGAGCTGATCTCTCATCATGCCATCATGTCATCCCAGCAGGGGTCACCCTATGGTGCTCAGAGAAAGCTGTCGGGCTTCCATTTGCGATTTGCCGATTTCACATCCCCCATTGCCCACGATGACATCTGCTACCGGTGTCGTATTATGATTTATTTTCCTTAATTGTTTTACAGAGTTCACGCGAATTTTGTAAAACTTCCTTCCCATGGTCATCAAGGTGCCATGATCCTGGCTTACCAGGAGAATGCGGTATAGATAATATAGATTCCACCTGTTCCTTCTGTATGGGATCTAGTGTTGTCCCCTCTCACGCGTGTTTTTCCTCCCACATGTAAAACAGTCAATGATTGGCCAATAAACACCTTCAGATATACTGTATAGAGGCCCGCAGAGCTTGGGGGATAATTTGGCGGCAGCTCACCATATGGCTGCTGCTTATCTGTGGTTACACCTCTCTCGTCAAGAGAGTTAATATTGTACGCATTACAAGTTGAAATTATAATTGTTTTGAGTGAAATATTTGGGCATTTCCATCTCCTTTCATACACATTTTGAGTGGTTTACAACACTTGTTCTGTTTCATTTGACCTTGCATCCCACTCTTTACTGTCCCACTATAATGCAACAGATTAGGTGATTAGTTTGTGTAAAAAAGAGGGTTTTATATTATGAATTTTTACGTGTTAAAAGTTTCTTAGCTCAGGCCCGAAGACCCTAAATGCAATGCCTACAACAGCGAGGCCCCGATGATAGCAGAGCGAATGAGAACCTGTATATTTTTATTGTTCAAGGTAACAAACTTGAGAACACGGACGGTGGGAGGAAGTTCCAAAGTTTATCGGCGCGAGGAGGAAAGGATAACATGAAACGTTGCCAAATGGTAGCTGAACACAGTGTGCACGAGAGTAAAGCTCTCCGTTTGGTAGCACGTGCCAATCACATTGGCAGAAGCATTGTGGCACAACGTTAATAGGAACAATGGCTGTGGTAATAGCAATAAAAGAGTGACAAGCGAACGACGGAACGACGGTGAGGGGGTCAATGCGTTGAATGTGGGAGCTTAGATCAAGCAAACATTGAATTCTACCAAACAAGAGTCAGGCAGGAACTGGGGGGGGGGGGGGGGGGGGGGGGCCATTATGACCAAATTTCATTCACAACAACTGAACCCGTGCGCTTAACACAGGAGTAGTAAATGTTCAGAAATAGCTGTCACTCCTTATTCACTGCATTCATTTATACATCCTCATCCCTCGTGCTCCTGTGACACAGGCTGGTAAACACCAATTCGGAAAAGTGAGCACTAAACCCAGGCAGGTATCTGCCGAAGAATAGCACCTGGCACTGAGCAGCACAAACGGTGCCAAATGAGCTCCCTAATAATTGCAGGTGCCGCTGTTTAGGTATAAAACTATCATTGCAAATCATCAGTGATAGGAGGAGGGGGTGGGAGGTGGGGAAGATGGGAAATGCTACCAAGTTGGGGATTTGAATCGCATTTACGAAATTATTACTGTCACTGCGTGAGCCCCTGCAGACACAACGTTAACCTGGGAGCTGTATTAAACTGTCATCTAAATTATAAGTCTTGAAGGCCAAGGGACCGAGAGCAAAATATAACTTTTTTACGTCAAGAAACAGAATGGTAGTGAATGCTGCCGAGGTACAATGGCGAGTCAACGGTCCAGTTCAATCTCCCGACTCTGACTCCATCCACCAAGCAGAATAAATGGGTAGACCACGTTTAGTCGAACAGCAGATGGCGTGGGGGTGGGTAAAGTGTGGATAGGTTCCAACTTTTTTTCAAGACGTCTGTGCAGAATGGAAGATAAGTTTCAAAATCTTCTATAGCAGTGGTTCCTTCTTAAGCTATCTGCGTGTGCCAGATGCCCTTTCTGGGGGTGCGAGTCATGGCCAGATTTGTCAGATTTATTTTAGAAGCTAAATAATCGAAACACAAACTAAGCACGGGCACGAAAGTACAACTACTTTGGTTCATCAAACCCTCTATTTATTTATTAACATTATGCCTTTTTTACGATTGAAAACCAAAGGGGTGCAAGGCTGCAGTCAAGGTTAAGAACCACTGGTCTAGAGGGACCCTCTAGAACCCCTTTAAGTGGGGACCCTTCATCCAGCAGTGGAATGAGCAGGCAATTGCAAGACTGCACCTCTATCTCCCAGAATGCAAGTCATGTTTTGTCATCACCAAGAATTCGACGAATTGCCAAGAATTCTCCGCAGCAGTGTTATGAACATTTTTGCACCAACAGCACTCCTTCATTCAGAGGCAGCGCGTTCACCTTTAACATCCGGTAATATATAATCCGGCGGTATGGTTGGCTTCACTGAGTCAGAATTTTGAAACGGGTCTAGACATTGTGTCTGTAAACAACTGGTGCTCATGACTGTACACTTGGAAGGCCAGAAGGCTGATGGAATATTTATATTTTGACTACTGTAGTCTGGGGCTACAGAATGGAAGAACGTATTGATACCATTACCCTTAATACTCAACTCATCATCAGCCATGATAAATCAACTGCTGGATAAAGGGTTCCCCAAGTTGATGCCATCTCTCAAGGAAACTCAACACACATTCGTCAACAGCACTGCAGTACAGTGCTGTATAATAGGTTACGCGTTGGGTAATGGCCCTTCTTCATAGCACATCAATCACAGCACTCGCACGCTTCTATGAAGTAACAACGCACCCCGCACATGCGTTCAACCTGTGCGTGCATTAACGTCATCGCTCCATCCGCGTGGTAGGTGCGCTCGCGGGTGCGCATTCTACCCCTTGGCTGCCACTCCGTCACGGTTTTTGCCCAGTGCTCAACTGACCGTGCATAACCCAGTTATTTTGTTCTCCT